GAAGGAGCCAGGAAGAATCATCATCAAACACCCCATGACAGCAGCTAGGTTCACTTCTCTTGAGGGGGGAAATGATATAGGAGCTATTAATTTATTTTAAGCAGATAATAAAGGTAACGATTCTCAGTGGAAATTTTCCTATAATAAGAAACAACCTCCGAAGCATCTCTTTCATAACAGAAAAGATGGCTTGAAGGGCCAGGCCGGCAAGCTTTGATATGCAAATGCTGGCCATTTGAAACTGGGCTCACTCAATATGGTGATTGCCAGGCGCTGTGGCTCTGGCCTGTAATCCTAGTACTTTGGGAGGCCGAGGTGGGTGGATCACCTGAGGTCAGGAGTTCAAGACCAGCCTGGCCATCATGGTGAAACCCCATTTAATAAAACAAAAACAAAAAGTTATATATTTATGACCAAATACACATATCACATATATGTGATCCATGTTAGGTATATGTGATATCATATATCTGTGATACATATATAAAGTGTTTCATATGTATGAAAATGTTTCATACATATCATACATCACATATATGTGATATCATATATATGTAATATATATGATATATGATATATATCACATATATATATCCAAAACTTATTTCAGGATCAAATAGACAATATATATGTAAATATTCAGAAAAGAGAACATTTTTCCTGCATTCCTCTACATGAGAAAGTATTTTCTGCAAACAGTCCTCGCTGTTACCATGTGTTTGATGGCCCACAGAGCTGCAGTGAGTTAACAGAAAGGCATAGTGTAGGAAAGAGGCTGCCCACGAGAAACCCCACCTCACTCTTCTTCCTTTTGTGGATGTGCTTGTCAGGAGATCATACACTTTGTTCTGCTCTTCACTGTCTTAGAGTTGAGAGAGGCAAGGGTACTAGTGGAGGGACCCACAGCTTTCCTGGCTATGACTGGGTGGATGAGTCTATATAACTCAGGAGATGAGAATAAGGGCACATTTAAAATTGCTATAAATATTTTATCACATTTAATAAAATTTTTAATGAATATTTTGGTTTCTATGTTCCTTAGTCCTTTAACTTTTAAAATTGACCCAGAACACAGTTTTGGTGCTTTTTAGTAGAGTCTTTTTCTTACCCGAATTAAACCCCACCAATTTTAAAGTCATCTTTTTTTTGTCATATCACTCATATTTTGTATTTTATATTCAGTACACAGATACACTTCTATTTTAGTATTTGTCATATATTAAATCATTATAAAATATATAAAAGCCATTAAAATATTCTATAGCTAGAAATCAATATATCTCAGAAGTGCAATCTTTTTCAAGATGAATTATTTAAATTGAGTAGCTTATTTTAGTTATTCAAACAGTGATGAAGTTTAGATATCATTATCCAAAATAGAAGCAAGCTTAATTACTATGTGATAAAAGTTTGGTAACTATAAAATTAAATAAATGGGGAAAATGATATATATTGAAGAAGGTTTTTTATAATTTATTTTTCTGTATAAAGAGAAAGATAATTCAATCACTGGCTTTATCTGTCACAAAATATCCCATTAAAGGCTTCAAATATGGTACCCAAAGTTTTATGTCTACATTAATAATATGATATACTAAGTAACTCTTGGGGGAAAAAAGTCATTTTTCATTTATTTCTTTCTTATGACTGTAATACTGATAATGAGCATTTTATAGTCCACTTGTTTTGAAAACCATTTAAATTTAGTTGCAGATTTAGGTACTCGAAGCATCTAGTTATAATACGACTGGCTTGTTGTTTAGAAGGTTTGCTTATATACATTACACCCTAGTGTTAGAGTTTTTCCTTGGTTTTAATTAATTAAGAGAAAGAAGTGGGGGAATTAATTCAAGCCAAATGCCACAAACCTCTATTATTTTTTAAATGGAGAAATACAATTTCATGTTCAATCAGGCAAAACAAGTGAAGGTAAAATGACAAACTCACAACCGCTCAAAAGATTTTAAGTGTATGTACAATAACATTAATTTTAAAATTGCCAGAAATCATTCCTGGTATATATTTTAATTGCAGGTAGTTTATATCTTCAAGCTATTTAAATAATTTCATGCATCTTAACTGAATTACAGCTAGTGCTTGACTTACGATCACGATTGGTTCCGACAGACCGGTCGTAACACGATTTGGTCCTAAGTTGAGCAGGCTGTATGCATGCGGAGATGGCAGTGCTGCCAGAAGCTGGTCCGCACTGTCGTACGCCCAGCTGGGCAACGTTTGCGCTGCCAGATGCGGAGCAGTTGTGGCTAGCGATTGTGGTCGTAAAGTCGAATGGTCGTAAGTTGCATAGGTCGTAAATCGATCAATACCTGTATTCACATTACCTAACAAAAATTTCTGCAGGAAAATAAAGTAACATTTTGAGAAGAAAAATAATGTCAGTAGAAAAAAACTATGCAAACTAAATCCAAGGAATACTGAGAGAACAGAAAGTGAGTAATGGTGTTAATTTCATCTGTTTTCCCCTTTAAGGCAACACTTGATTACAACTTTTAAATAACTGAAGTAAAATCATTTTGAGAGAGCACATTCTCATCACTAGAATAATCAATCTCAAGTGATTAATCCCATAAATTTTGAAGCATGGCTTATATTTTAAAAAAAATACAAAACAAAAATGAATCTTAAGGCCAAAATGCGGCATTCATATTACCAAAGTAGTAAAATAATTAAATTTTAAAATCACCATAATTTTGACACTAAGGAACAAGAATGTCCATGGGAAGCATTGGTGCTTTTTGATCTCTTCTGTCTTTTCTCTTTTTCTTCTTTTCTTATCTGGAAAAATATATTTTATCTTCTGAAATACTTACAAGTGCTTTTAATCACTTATATAATAACCATGAAATATGTTTTTCAAAATCTCTGAACATTTTTAGAGGAGGAGTTATAGAAATACTTTAAATTTTACCTTTCACATTTTATTGCATTAATAACAATTGACATTACTAAGCCAAATAGACACAGCTTTCACAGAACCAATCTTTACAATTATTGAAATATTTTGTAAATTTTTGGCTATAATAACTTCAATGCATCCCCTATTTAAATTACACCATACACTGTGCTAAGCACATTTTTTTCCCCTTTTGTCCTCTGACATTTAAAAATTTTTATTTATTGTACTTTATGTTCTGGGGTATATGTGTAGATCTCGCAGGTTTGTTGCATAGGTTCACACGTGTCATGCTGGTTTGCTGTCTCCATCCCTCCATCATCTACATCAGGTATTTCTCCTGGTGTTATTCCTCCACAACCTCCCTGCCCCCCATTGTCCTTCCCCTAATCCCCCATCCCCCCAACATACCCCAGTGTGTGATGCTCCCCTCCCTGTGCCCATGTGTTCTCATTGTTCAATACCCTCCTATGAGTGAGAATATGCGGTGTTTGGTTTTCTGTTCTTCTGTCAGTTTGCTGAGAATGATGGTTTCCAGCTTCATTCATGTCCCTACAAAGGACATGAATTCAAATAGTTTTTTATGGCTGCATATTATTCCATGATATATATATGCCACATTTTCTTTGTCCTGTCTGTCATTGATGGGCATTTGGGTTGCTTCCAGGTCTTTGCTATTGTAAACAGTGCTGCACTGAACATATGTGTGCATGTGTCTTTATAATAGAACAATTTATAATTTTTTGGTTACATATCCAGTATTGAAATTGCTGGGTCAAATGGAATTTCTATTTCTAGGTCCTTGAGGAATCACCACACTGTCTTCCATAATGGTTGAACTAATTTACACTCCCACCAACAGTGTAAAAGCATTCCTATTTCTTCACATCCTCTCCAGCACCTGTTGTCACCTGATTTTTTAATGATCGCCATTGTAACTGGCAAGAAATGGTAACTCAATGTGGTTTTGACTTGCATTTCTCTAATGACCAGTGATGATAAGCTTTTTTTCATACCTTTGTTGGCTGCATAAATGTCTTCTTTTGAAAAGTGTCTGTTCATATTCTTTGCCCGCTTTTTGATGGAGTTGTTTGTTCTTTAAAAAAATGTTTATCTAATATCTTATTCCTGAAGTAAACTTCATTGTCCTTTTTATATATTTCTAAATCAGTTTGCAAAGATTAATATTTTCATATTTTGGTTTATAAATGGAATTGGTCTGTAAGTTTTCTTTCTCAAAGTATCCTTAGAGCATCTTGACATTCCAGTTGAGCTAATAATCTTAAATGTTTGACAGAGTTCACCTTTGAGGATACTGGAGTCAGCTCTTCTTCTGGTAATATTTTAAATGTGGAATCCGTTTTTTTTTTTTTTTTTTTTTTTTTTTTTTTTTTTTTTTTTTTTTTTTTTTTTTTTTTT